CGGACCTAAAAACCACAAAATAAAACACATAAAACACAATAAAATAAGGACAAAAACACAATAAACACCTACTGGGTTACTCCTTCTAGTACCAATTGGTTTTGGGATGAAACCCCGCTTGAGCTTCATCTGGACTTTTCCAGTCATATTGGTGTGCTTCATCTGCGTGCTACTGCACCCATTTTATCCGCGATTCTTACATGAATCACTACATAAATGACATAAAAATGTAATGAAATAGTTTTTTATATATAAATTTAAGAAATCATGATCAATTAAATAGCTGAACATAAATAAATTATTTTTTATTATAGCAATTAGTACGTAGTTCATGCGGTGAACGAGTAATTAAATAATAACTACAATGAAAGATGTGGGTAAACAATATTTTTATATTAAAAAATAATTATAAATTAAAGAACTTCATGTGATATATATAATTGAGTTAACATATATATATATATGTGTGTAACAAGGAAAGTCCATGCAAGTCTATGTCTCACATCAAATACATTTAGCAAAATAATAAATAAACCAACTTCACATACCTTTTGTCCCTATATATAGAGTGGCTCACTCACATACAAGGATATCATATCTCCATAAGTTTTTTTTTTTTTCTTCCACCAATTGTTTCAATAGCTTGAATACAATTTCCCCAAATCACTCATAGTGAAAAAATTGAAATAATGTATAGTGTTCGCTCAAGATCTTTGTTACTCAACATGATCATTTTTTCCCTACTCATTTCAAGCTTGGCTGCACGGTCCCGTTTCTTGGCCGACCGAGGATCACCCGAACATGGCTATGATGCGGCACGTGGCCGTTTATTGATCCGTAAATTAGGATTTGGTGAGGCTAAGTTTGAATACTATAAGAGAAGGGCAATGTTATTGGATGTTGATCCTACGAGGGATGCACCCGATGGACCAAATCCTCAACACAATTGATTTGAGTCAAATTATAAGTAGTCATTGTCTAAATTAAATAATGTATGCGTGCATGAAAATCTTCATAGCTTTCAATAGTTAGCTATGAACATTACTTGTATTGCCCCTTATTGCCAATTTCTATTGTGTATCATATTATCATGCATTATAGCTAAACTTGTTCTTGGATGTTACTTTTTTTTTTTTTCGAAACGAAAGGATTTATAACTCAACGAAATAGATACAATCGTATATGGCTACTAAGCCATAAAAATATACAACAGAAGGACACCCAAGATGAGGCCTTATCACAAAAATCAAAATAAACTTATTCTTGGATGTTACATGGGACATAAATTCAAAAGCATTTTAAACCAATTGGAACTAATGAGTACACACACATTTGAGCCCAAATTGACTTTCGAGCATTCCTGATCATGTACGCAAGCATACATTTTGGATTGTAACTGAAGTTGTCATCGAAGTGAGCTAAATAACATTACTCTGTGTGAATATGCCCGATCATGGCCCACATCGAGAGAGCGAATTAGCCTTTAATTCGACACTGAGAGATTTAGTTACAGATAATGGTTATGAACTTATGATGAAAACAATATAACAGTCCTTCCTGAAAAAAAAAAGGGCTAATTGTACGGGCAAAAAAAATTATAATCATGGCAAAGTTTTTAGGCTCAACTTCAAACTCTTTTAACAGGACTGAGTATGAGACTCGAAGAATTTTGAACCATTCTAAAAATTGAACCGAAATGACACCGAACCGAAAAATAACCATTGTCCATTTGACTTTCCCCGAAGCGAAAGAATAATTGGTACGGTTCTGGAAATTTCACAAATATCTGTACCGAGAACCGGACCAGACCGTCTCGTACCATACCGAATTGAAATTATGAACCGAATAAGAAAAATAGATGTATGATATTAATATATTTTGTGTCAACTTTGATCCTGTATAATTTGAAAAAAATTTAAATGGAAATAAAATATAATTATAAACAATTAAGTTTCACTTAAATTTCATGCTTAGTAATACTTGAGATCTACAATTAAAATTTTCCTGGTTTAAGAAACATATATTTAAAATGGTATGAAATGTTGAAGAAATATTTCTTAAAAAAAAATATTTAAATATTACTTAAATTTGTTGATACTAGTCTTATTTTATCGTGTAACTAACATGGTATGAAAGGTTAAAAAATATTACTTTAATAAAAAACTATATTATATGTTGTTTGAATCTTCAATTTTCAATGTAAGTTGCATAAATTTTGTCTTTAACTAAAATTTAGAGTTTTTTCTCCAGTTAATTTAAAAATAAAATCTTTAGTATGATAAAATATTGATGAATGTTGGATTTAAAAATATAAAAATTAAAATACAACTAGATGGCCATTAAATTGTTTTTTAAAATAATTAGATATCTCCGAATATCTAAACCGAACCGTTCCAAGAACTGAATCGAACCGAACCGATTTTTTTGTACGGTTCCAAAAATTGAATTTTAGTAATCTCCGAACTTCGACACGGTTCCAGAAATTTGTCAATCTCCAAACCGTACGTAATCAGGCTTACTTTTTTATGCTTATAAACCTTCAGGAGCCCTATAAAAATAAAATTGTCTCGCCCAAATATATAATGAAAAAGTAAAAAAAAAAATGCTTTTTCTTTTTTTTTTAAGAAAAAAAGATAAATTTAATATGAATATATTATATGTGTGTAAAATAAAATATAATGATTAAAGTTTATAGATATAAAAATAATATAATATCAACTGAATATGATTAGTATTTATATTTTAATTACGTTGGCCGGGGGATTGTGGAAAAAATTAAGATAGGAGGAACAATAGTTTTTATGAATATTTTTGTTTCATTAACTACTAGTACTAATACTCGTGTACAACATGAGTGTTGAGTTAATGAATGTATGTGTAAAGTTATTTATGTCTAATATCAAACCTAACTCCAGAGTAAAAAATAATATAAAAACAATATCACGAAACATAGATTTTCGCCATGACAGCATCCGAAGCGTGAGAATCTGCCACATAAACTGACTTTTATAGAACTAAAAAAATATATGTATAATTTTCGCAAATGCTGCCCAGTTTGTTGGAAATGTGGAAATTTAGGGCGTTGTTTGTTTCTTTAGTCGGTGACGGCCAATCGCCGGAAATTTAAGATGGCCTGAAAATGGAAACCGGGTTCGAGGTGGCCGAGGACTTGGATTTCTACAGAGGACGCGTCCACGTCTGGAGCTCCGCGGTTCGGCCCGGCCCGAATGTCTTCTCGGCCCGCATCCAGAAGACAATCAAGCAGGTGGTGAGTTTCGTATATGATGGGCTCAGTGAGGATTGATTTTCGGACAATTTGCAGCAGTATAAGTGTGAAATTGGATTAAAGCAGGGACGGACGCACATACATGAGTGGGGGGGCCATGGTCCCCCCCAATTTTTTTATTTTTTTAGTACTATGTATATAGAATGTATAGTATTATGTATATTTAATTATTTTGCCTCCCTTAAAATATAAATTAAACTAAATGATATAAAAAAAAATAAAAACACAGTCACAATTCCCGGGGCACGATTCCACTTACCTTACTTTTCCTTTAAAGCATATATAATATGTAATATAATAAATTAACTTAGTTTATTATTTTTTAAACTATTAAAGAAATAATTAATGTAAATCAAAAAAAGTTGGGAATTGGGATTCTCGGCCACTAAACATTTGAGAAAAACTTGAGAGCAGAAGAGGACGAATCGACGAGAGCACTGGACAACCAATTGAAAGAAAAAAAGAAAAAAAAAATATCAATTGAGATTTGAGCCATCATCTTATTGAATAATTTGTAAGTACTTTTTTCAATATCTTTATTTACGATCTTATTTATTTGTTCCTTTTGAGCCATTTAAGACTTAATAAAGTTGAATGTATGAGATTTCCTCTACTGTTTGAGCTTCATTGAAAAAATTTATATATGTACTGAAAAGCAATTAAATGATTGTTAAGTAGTTTGAATTAAATGTGAATTTTAATAAAAAAATTTGTGGAGTCCTCCCACATTGTACGGTGGTCCAAAATCAAATGGAAGAAGTGTATAGACTATTCTTAAAAATCTATAGTAGGTTTTTATTTATGAATTATGAAAATATTGGTGTACTTGTTACTGCCAACTTAACATTGAACAAATATACATAGCCCAATTTTACTTAAAAATATATGTCTTTATCGAAAAATATTTCGTCCCCCCCAATTCATTTTTCTGGATCCGTCCCTGGATTAAAGATTGGATTTTTATGTTTGATTGGCTCTGTTTTGATACTGTGTGAAGACATGGGTAAGTTGGAACAATAAAATACAGAGAAGATTAGCATGACACTACGCACGGATGACACGCATAAATCGAGAGAAAGGTAAGTTGGGGTTTTCTTTTATTTTATTTTTTTTTGTTATTTTTTGTGTTTTTTTTTTTTTTNTTTTTTTTTTTTCGGGTATAAGGTGTTTGATATTTGTTATGAGAGAGATTTATATTTTGGACTGGCTATTGTGATTGAATTTGTTCAAAGACTTTGTATGAGGCAGTTTTTGTGAATTGTGCAGGCATCATGCTGACATGAACATCACCTTTATATGGAATTAATGAAGTTAAAAATTGTTGAATAATAAAAGATTATATGTGATTCGGGTTATCATGCATATCTTGATAATGAGGTTGGTTCTTACAGATTTAATTTATTAGATTAATATTATTATAAATTAAATAATATTATTTTAAATTAAATAAAAAAATTTTTATATTAAACAATATTTTTATATTAATAAATTAATTAAATTAATATTTTTTAGATTAAGTAATATTATTTGAAATTAAATAAAATTATTTTAGATTAAATAAAATTTTGTAAAATTAAATATAATTATTTATCTATATTAAAAAATATTTTTTAATTAATTAAAATTATTTAAATTAATATTTTATAGATTGAATAATATTATTTTAAATTAAATAAAATTATTTTAGATTAAATAATACTATTTTATATTAAATAAAATTATTTTAAATTAATATTTTATAAATTATATATATTGTTTTAAATTAAAAATAAATAATTTTCTATTAATCAATATTTTTTAAATTAAATAAAATTATTTAAACTAATATTTTATAGATTAGATAATGTTATTTTAATGAAACAAGAATATTTTAGATTAAATAATATTATTTTAAATTAAATAAAATTATTTTAAATTAAATAAAAGTCATTTAAGACCAAGGATAATTTTATCACACCACAATGGCTGGATTTTTTTATCCCGCCAACAAGGATACATGCGTTCCCCAATTCTATTTAGTAAACGAGGGATAAGATTGGTTAACCAACCTTATCTCATCTATCAGGGCTAGTAAAAGAGGCCTAAGAGTATTTACGAAAACTTTGAAGAAAAAATATGATGCATTACACATCCCATGTAGGAGGTGTGATACGGTCTGGTGAACAGTTGTGATAAATAATCGGGCTTTAGCCTATGCAAGGGCTTAACATATTTGAACTAAACATTATATTATATAGAAAATATTAGAAAATTGTTTGATATCACACCTATAACATCCAACCAAACACACCCGAAATATACATAATATGTGATAGTTACACACACACACACACACACACACAAACACACACACACACACACACACACACACATATATATATATATATACTTAGACAATCGTACTCTTTTGACATATATACATACTTTCACACTAGCATGTCATACTTCTGTTTCTCTAATATTTTAAAATATGACATTTAAACTTGAAAGTATGTACATATGATGAAAGAGTATGTCTGACTAACCATTAAATAACATAATGTAAAAGTTGTTGCTTTAACTTCAAATATATCTTCTCATGAATTCTTTTATGATGAGGTGAATTTTTAGCACTTAATGTATTGATAATGTTGAGTTCACTTTCTAATGTCTGTTTGTTATGTTTTTGTGCTTATTTTTTTGTATTCTTTTTGTGTTAGTCGAGTCGTTTTTAGGTTAGTTTGAGTGTCAACCGATACATTTTGTCGTGTTTTATGTGTTTCGTTTTCGTTATGTCTTTTTGTATTTCGGCGTATTTTCAAGTCTTTTTGGTGTTGAGTAGGTCCAATTGGTCGAGGTTAGGAGAACGAGTCGTCTGAACCGAGCGAACCGAGTCAACCGAGTCAACTGAGCCGATTGAGCCACCCAAGCCGTCTCGGGCCATGACCGAGTCCAAACGCACGCACCTTCCCGAGCCAACGCAGCACAACCGCGCGTCGTGTCCCTATCGCCAGATGACTCGCGACCACGTGAGAGGTTCCGCGACCTCGAGAGTGCTGCTACCACGATCGCCCTTCGCCGCGAACTCGCGAGTGCTGCCCTTGCGTGCGCTGCGACCCGCGTCCCCCTCCGCGACATCGAGAGTGCCGCTGCCCACGCCCTTCGCCGCGACCTCGTGAGTGTTGTCGTGTCGCGCCCGCATCCTGTCACCTGTGCCCGCGACCAGCGGGATATTTAGAGACCTTGCGAGTTTTTGACAAATGTGCGTGTTTTTACTTTTTAGTGTGTGTTTGTATTGTATCTATAAATAGACATTGTGCTTTGTATTTTTGGAACAACCCCTCATTTTCCAACTTTTAAGTTGGGATATCTTCTCTATTTTCTCTCTTTTAAGTTGGGATATCTAACACCATGTTAAATTTTTTGTTGCTATCATACAATGAAGTGTACCTAGGTGGTAAAATGTTTCACCTATGACTGATAGGTCATGGGTTATTGAGTCCCCGAGAAGGGAAAGTGAGACATTATTGATCCTTTTTTAAAAAAAAAAAAGAAACAAAAAAAAACTACACTAATGTTATTGTTAAGCAGATCCAACAGTTAAGTAGATATACTTTTTAACAGATATACATACTTTCAAATTGAAATGTCATATTCTTAAAAAACAACCTAAATAAAGGTATGACATTCAGAGCATAGGTACGAATTTTTGTTAGAAACTATGACGAATTGACCCGTCTACTAATTAGGTCATCTCACGTAAGAATTGCTACTTTATATTAAGAAATCACTTAATGGGTTCATCTAAACAAATAACTCTTTCTTTTATGTATGAATTTATACATCGAAGAAGATGGTAAAAATCAAATTTTTAAAAGATATGCATACTTTCAAATTGAAATGGCATATTCTTAAAAAGCAGCCTAAATAAAAGCATGACATTCATAGCATAAGTATGAATTTTTGTTATAAAAGTATGACGGATTGACATGTCTACTAATTGCTTCGTCTCACGTAAGAATTGTTATTTTATATTAAGAAATCACTTGAATTGGTTCATCTAAACAAATAACTTTCTTCTTTTATGTATGAATTGATACATTTAAGAAGATGATCATTAAGAATCAAATTTTTATTCTTTTGACATATCATATCCAATGTGGACCAACAATGCATATAATCAATAGTCATGTATTAAAAATCATTAACTTTCAAAAGCATATATATAGCATTGGATATATAAACGGACAAAACTAACATGATCATGTTTGGATCAAAAATGGCATTAAAATGAAAATTAAGGTTAATTGTTTATTGTTAGAAGAATTAATAAAGGTTTTGTGGTTCTCATGTGCATTAGATTAGATCAACCCACGACGACCAAATGACGGCTGCTTAGTCAAAGGACAAAAATGGTGACTGGATAATTAACTAAAAACAGCAGCCCGATTGACAGGTCAGCTATTTGTTAAAAAAAAATAAAAAATAAAAAAAATAAAGATTGACAGGTCAGCTGGTTGGTCAATTTTATTTTGCATTTATTATTTAATTATAATGGCAAAAATTAAAAAAAAAAAAATCAAAAATGTGTGGGACTATCCATCGTAGATAATGTCACTTTCTTTGCTCGAAAAGTTATAAGGTATAGAACAGATATTGATCTGGGAACAATTCACATGTAGCTGACCTTAATTAGTTGAGATAAGATATAGACTCCCTACTACTACTATGGCTAGGGTAGGTATTATGGTATTAAATTAAAACGAGTTTGACTCGATTTGGCTCGAGCTCAGCTTGTTCATGCTCGAGTTTGGCTCGGCTTGTTTGATAAACAAGTCGAGCTTATTTAATGTTCGTTTGGTTAATAATTCGGCTCGATCATTCATACACACCACATCAACCTTAATTCACTATTCATCCACTCACATTATTTTAACTAATCATCACTTCAATTATCTCTCTCCTACTTTTACATCAAATCAATTGTAATTATTTTATTTCAAATATTATTTTAATATACCTACTAACAACTAACCATACCAAATTTTTCAATATTAACTAAACCAAACCAAAAAATTCAAACAAAACCAAAAATTTTCATAAACATAAGACTCCCTACTACTATTATGGCTAGGATAGGTATTTTCCTATTAAATTAAACCAGTTTGACTCGATCCTTCTCGAGCTCAGCTTGTTCAGGCTCGAGTTCGGCTCGGCTTATTTGTATATGAACAGTATAATTTTATTACTTTATTTATATATGAATCATTGTATAAATAACATAAAATGTAATGATATATCTTTTTATAAATTTAAGAAATCATAACCAATTAATTAGTTGAACGTAAATACATTATTTTTTTATAACAATCAGTGCGTAGCTTGTGCGAAGTACGGGTAAATAATATTAAATAATATTATAAATGAAAGATGTGGGTCAACAATATTAAATAGTAACTAAATATTAAAAATTTTGGGTTACCATGGATTAATTTACTTATACTGGTTTGTTGTAAACATATAAAATTATCTTATGTAAACGAACATAGACCATTATGTTCAAAATATTAAAAACACGTAGAATATGATATAATATGTAAAAATATCTAAATATTCTATATTGTTCTTGAAAAATGTGAAGTCACCTTGATTTTTTTAAAACTATTTTATAAAGACAAAATGTCTAAAGATACTTAATTTAACATTGATATGTATGTATACATACATAGATATAGATTAATGTAGAATTAGTAAAAAAAGATATTTAGAAATATAGTCTAATACCTAAGTTTATGAGAGAAGATTTTATATAATAGATACAAAAACATTGTCTATCTATTTTATATCAGTTTTATATTATGACTATCCGATTTTGCTATAGAGTCATCAAATGACTCGGTTTATGGAGTCATTCACAATTATTCACAAATGATATATTGACACGTGTCCTGCAATAAATACACATTGGACATGTGTCAGTATATAAAGTAATGGATGACTCATAGAATTTTTCTATGACTATCACATGTGATATTGCATGTAATTTGTGATATTGCATGTAATTATGTTTATATACGGAGTATATATCCTCAAAAAATCTGGTCACTGTAATATAAAGTTGTACAAAATTTGGATTTTTTTTTTTCAAATTATACCAACAATTTCATTTTGGAAAAGCAATCCTTAAAAAGATATGGTTACTACAATATAAAATTATTTGTTGTACAAAATTATCAATTATTTGTTGTACAAATTTTTTATAATGATGTTGTGAAGAATAATACCATAAAAGGAGGAATTTATGTAATTGTTTCTAAAATATAAAATCTTGTGTTGTACAAAATTCAAATAATCTTATGGTAAAGAAATTATAGCATATAAAGAGAATTTATGTTTATCTTATAATTGCTAAGGCAAATAAGTTATGTATAACTTATAATTATTAATGCAAATATCTTTTATTGATAGTAAAGAGTCATTTTGTATATATATCTCTTTTACTCTATCATTTTATTTTTTTTAATCTTAAGGAGATATTGGAAAAATAATTTGACTGTATCGATTCCATGCCGAATCGCTGATTTTTTTGTTAAGATAAAATACTCCACGAGACTGTTACCATAAAAAAAAAAGATAATGATAAAATCAAAATGATTTGACTGTAAATAAATTCTCATGTATCTAATAAATTTGTTGCAATCCGATTTTGTTTATAAATGCAAGTATAATGAATGCTATTAATTTTTTCTTTTTTGGGTTAAAATAAAATTTTAAATTACCATTTTTAGTGTTAGGGCGGTAAAAGATTTCTAAAATTAATTTAACCTTATTCATATTATATATATTGCGTGCATAATATTAAGGGATTTAATTTGTGCCATAATAATCATGTAGTTATAAAAAAAAATAATGACAGAAAATTAAATATTAATTTTAAAATAAACAATTTGAAGAAAAAAAAACTTGCAATAATATTATTATGACAAATAAGTTAAAAATAATATGATCACATTTAAATATTGTAAAATTTAACAGTCAATTTCCATAAATAAATGAAAAAAAGAGCGAGTAATTAATAACACTAGTATTCGACCTTGTGCATTTGCACAGATATAAATAAAGTATTGTGAGTTATTTGTATGCATATAATGATTAATTATTTTTTTCTTTCACCTTTTTATTGGCCAAATTTACAATTAAATGAGTTGGAATATTTATTTTTTTTAAATTATATTTATCTGATTGGATGTAATGTATATTTTGGTACATTTTTTTTTTGTGAATTATTTATTATTTATTTAGGAATTTCAAATACGTTTTTTATTTAAAATAAATTAATTTAAATGTAACCACAATAATAAAAATCTAATCACATTATACGGTTAACACATTAGATGGGTAACTGTAAGTAATCAAAAGTTTTAAAATGATTTTTGTAATTTTGAAGTGATTAGTGTTGATTATTTAATAATTAAATGAAAGATTAAATACATTAAAAATAACGGTTTTTGGAGGGAAAATTGTTAAATTGCCACGTAGGTAAAATTAAATAGGTTTTATTAAATATTATTACTCAGTAATTATATATATATATATATAGATTAGATTGATAGCCTACAATGATATATACACAACTTGTAAAGATTCTTCTCTTCTGCAAATTCGGCTACTTAAAGCTATGTTTGGTAATATTAACTAATAAGCTAGTTGATAGTTGATAAACTAGCTTATAGTTTATCAGTAATTTATGAGCTTATGATTTATAGCTGAAAAATTAGCTCATATAATAAAAGTGTTTGGTAAAATTAGTTGAATAGCTATAAAAATATCAACGAGTTTATTTGAAAAGTTACCTAAAGAAACTTATGAGATAAGTTCGAACTTATTAAAAATTTGCCCTACCAAACAAAGATTATTTTTTTTTTTACCAAACGAAGCTTATATCAGTTATAAGTTAGTTTATTTCTCTACCAACCATTTAAA